TAAGATCCTGCTCATCCCAGAACCCCAAGAGGCTCAGGAACTAGGGACTCCGGGTACCTTTGAGGCCAAAGGCTGAAAGGGAAGAACTGGTTGACAGACTATAATAAGGAGTGCTTTAGCTCCCCTCCACCTCCGAGCCCCATCCCTACTTCCCTATCCCAGGAGATGGGAGGTCTGTTGTCTAAACCCGAACCAGAGAGTCGCAAGGGGGGGGGTTCAGAAATAATGGAGGGTAGGGATAAAATTCTGTACTGAAAACTGTGCACACCTGCATACGTGTAGTGGAAGAACCTTCCTTCCTTCACCCACCACACTTTCAGGTTTCTAGAAGTGAGACCTATTATACACATCCTCCTCCCTCACCCTATTCTTGCCTGTCCCCACAGGGGGCTTAAGGGTTTTCTCTAGAGAAACCAAATGGTCCCAAAAAGATAACCTACAGATACTGACATTTGGGGCTGTGCAAAAAAAAAAAAAAGCTGCTGCTGATCAATCACCCCTTGGTGAAGCTGCCCACTCGGTAAGCCCCACCCATGCACACAGAGCTTCCAATTCATTTTCTGATACTCTTTATTAAATTGGCACAGATAGCCAATCAAGAACCACTGGCATTTGAGTAAAGCTTCTAAGATCTCCGTTGCTCAGATCCCTTTGCTGGACCCTTGTCTTCTTGACCTCTAAGGCTGATTCAGTCCTTGCTCCTCTTCTCTCCTTTATCTACACCCACTCCCTTAAAGAGTTCTTCCAAAAAAGAGAGATTTCTTCCATTCTTGTGGTTCTAAATCATCTTCGTGTGCCAGTGACTCTTGAATTTATATTTCCAGCTCAGATCTCTCTACTGAAATGCAGATTCGTATATCCACCTGCCTGCTATCTCTCTACTCAGATGTGTAAACAATGTACTAGGCTGTTTCTGACGCGACAAGAAAGGATCCAAGTAGCTTAGTGAATGACAATGCTTACAGCCTCTCCTTAGCTGTAGCATTAAGTCACATCTCGGACACAACATGTCAAACAGAACCTCCCGGTCTTCCTCCCAGAACTGCTCCTCCTGCTGCCTTCTCTCTTTCTGTTGTCTCTCTCTGTTGTCTCTTGGGATGCTTGGGCCAAATCTTTTAGGTCGTTCTTGACGCTTCTCACACTCCGTATTTATTATGTCAGGAAATTTTCTTGGCTTTATCCTCAAAACATATCCAGAATCTGACCATTTCTCACCATGTCTACTGCTACTTCCCTGGTTCAAGTTAGCCTCCTAACTGAATTTCCTGCTTCTACCAATGCCTCCATGTAGACTGTTCTCAGCAAAGCAGACCACGTGATCCTTTTAAAATATAAGATCGTATTACTCTTCTGCTCAAAACCTAATAATGACTTTCCGTTTCACTCAGAGAAAAGCCAAAGTCCTTACAACAGCTTTTAAGGCCCTACATGATCCATCCACTACCTTTCTGACTTTACCTCCTACCACTTTGTCAGCTCCTTCTCTCAGCCACACTGACTTCCTTGCTAACCCACCAGGCACATTCCCACTGAGGGTCTTTGCACTGGCTAGTCCCTCGGCCTCAAGAGGGTTTCCTCTGCATGTTCACATGGCTAACTCTTTACCTGCTTCAAGCCTTTGCTCAGGTGTCACCTTCTCAGTGGGGTCCACGCTGACCACCCTAAATAGCAACCCACCCCTCTGCCCCCTTACAATGCTCTCCTTTTTCTTAACACTTACCACCTCTTGCATAATATAGTATTTTCTTATAATATTACCTGTTTACTTTCTGTCTTCTTTGACTGTAAGGTAAACCTCAAGAGGGCAAGGATCTTTGTCTAATTTTTTCACTGATAAGCTACTGGAACAGTGCCAGGCATATAGAGGTGCTCAATAGATACTTAATAGGCAAATAATAAATAAAAATGAAAGACAGAGGCTAAAATCGACAAATAAGGAACTTGGAAAAAACAGAAATGATACAAAAGTTTTTTTAAAAATATTATCATTAAAATCTTCAGATATAAGAGATTAAACTGTATCCATAAAAAAAGGGGATAATTTAATAGCAGCAGCAATAACTGAAGAACAAAGAATAAAAATTAATTCTTAGAAATTAAAATTGATATCTGAATTTTTTTTAAAGATTAGTAAACAGAAGTTCAAGAAATTTCCCAGAAAGAACAAAAGTCCAAGAAGATGAAAAACCAAAGATAAAAGAAAACTAGATGACCCATCCAGAGGTCAACATAAAACTAATATAGGTTTTAAGAATAAAAGAACAGGGGCACCTGGGTGGCTCAGTCATTAAGCATCTGCCTTCGGCACAGGTCATGATCCCAGGGTCCTGGAATCGAGTTCCACATCAGGCTCCCTGTTCAGCGAGAAGCCTGCTTCTCCCTCTCCTTCTTCCCCTGCTTTGTGTTCCCTCTCTCGCTGTGTGTGTGTCTCTCTCTGTCAAATAAATAAATAAAATCTTTAAATAAATAAAAAAACAAATAAAAAGAATAAAGGAACAGAGAAAATGAAGAAGAGGAAATTCGGGGAAAAAGACATTTTAAAAAAATTCTAGAACAGAAAGACATGCGTTTTCAGGCTATAAAAAAGCCTTATCTAGGGTTCAGCATAGTGAAGTCAAATGCCTCTAAGCAAGCACAGCACCAGAACATCTTAGGACACTGGGATGAGGGGAAGGTCCTAAAGCCTCCACAGTTTCCAAACAAAGAACCGGGAATTAGAATAGCACAGAACATCATGACAGTATCAGTGGAAACTGGAAAATAATAAAGGAATATTTTCAAAATTCTAAGGGTAAGGATTTTTAACATAGAAATGCATGCCTAACCAAGCCATCAATCAACTGTGAGGCAGAATAAAGGCATATTTAGAAAAGTAAAGTCTCAAAATTTGACCAACTATTCATCCTCTCTCAGGAAACTTCTGCAGGGTATGTTCCACCAAAATGAGAGAAAACCAATAAATAGGAAAATAGGAGATCCAGGAAAACAGGTAATCCAAATTAGGAGGATATGAGGAAAATTCCTGGGATAATGACAGAAAGTCCACAATGACAGCATGTAGCAGGTTTAAAAAGCCTCCTCCAGACTGGAGCAGAAAGATTGAGGACTCAAGCAGAAATGATCCAAGAAAAAACACAAATGGTATTACTAGATTAATGTATTTGAATGTATTAAGAGAAGATTTCCAGTTAAAGATTTGAGGATGAAACTAAGCAAACAAAGAGGCAATCATTAACCCCAGATAAAACAAAAAATTTCACAAGAAGGAGATGAAATCACAGTATACTATTTGACTCAGCTTTGAACATTACTTAGTTAATTACAATAATATAAACATTGGTATTGGTTTAACTCAATAAAGTGATATAACTGTACTGGAAGGTGGAAGTAAGGAAATGAGGAAGTGGAGAGACATGAAATTTTTTCTTCCTTAAAAGGAAGCTAATTGATAATGTCTAAAATTTGTGAATCAATAAATAGCAGTGAAAGCATAATGTTTAGAAATATGGAAGTAAATACCAAAAGTAGTAGTCAGAAGGGTGCCAATGGTTGTCTCTGGGGTTGGATTGGCAGTAAGGAGAGTTATTTGTTGCTTTCAAGCTTGTAACCTCACTTTATTTTCAGACCACACATGTGTATTACTCTGATAAAAATAAATATTGAAGTGTGGGACAGACTGGCATCAAACCAATGTTTTCCACTTGACATAATCATAAAGATTCAAAGACAACTGGAATGGAAATGAGTTTCTCATCATGTTGTTCAGCATTACTGAAAATCGTATCTTGGGCACAAAGTTTCAGTCAAGTAAGAGATCAAGTTCTGGAGATCTGCTGTACAACACGGTACCTCTACGAACAATAATGTTTTATACATTTAAATTTTTTAAGAGGATATATCTCATGTTACATGTTCTTACCACAATAAAATTTTGTTGAAAAAAACATGTTTAGGCACCTCTTAAAATTATCTCTTCTATTAACATCCCACACTTTCAAGCCTGGGGAATAGTCTGTGCAATTCTTGTTGAAACAAAGAGATGGACAAGAGAACAATGCTGTCAGTTCAAGGATCATGACTTGCCCAAAGTGATTCAAGATGTAATAAAAATCTGAATAATCCAATCATCATTAAGGAAATCAAATTCCATAGTTTAAAATTTTTTCCATAAGGAAAACATCAGTTCAGATAATTTTACAGGCAAATTCTAACAGCTTTGAAGGAACACACTCTCCCAGTCTTATTAAAATTCTCTGAGAAAATAATTCTCTAACTCATTCCATGAGACTAGTATAATCTTGATATAAAAGTGAGACAAAGATCATAGAAGAAAGGAAAATTATAGGCCCACATCACTCATGACATAGATGAAAAATCCCCAAGTATTAATAAAAGAACCAAGTGACATATAAATGGTGACACATGCAATGTTTCTAAAAGCACTTATTTTGGAGATGAAATCTAAAGGGAGCCCTAGCATCTGCAGGCAGCCAAATTCATGGTGTTTATGGTGGAACATTCTGTGTGCATCTGAAAAGACAAGATGATCAAAATCACTACAAGTATGTGTGAAATGGAAAGCTTTCTCATTCTTACAGGTTTGGGGTTTTAGGAAATGGTTCATGGGCAGAGGGTAAAACTGACCCACCTCTGTTCCATGTGGAAAGGAAAAATAAAGATAGAAAATTGATGTCGTAGCTAGTCCAGCTGGAGGCTATCGAACTCTCAGGGTACTCACGGGGCTCTTTAACCAAACTGCCATGCTTAAAGATGTATAGCAGTCTTTCTTAAGATCCCAGGCTTTTCTGTAAATGTACCCTCTAGGTGGGTAGAGACTCCATGTACTAGATGCTTCAAGCTTCAAGGATCATGAAAAGGGGTTTGGCTTTGAAGCATGGTTTGTTCCAGTGAAATACCTTCTCTGTACCTCTTTCCCCTGATCAGAATGCTCTATATGTGCTAGGCCCGGATCCCAGAAGGGTGGGGGAAGCATTACTTACTGTGCACGAAATATTCTTTCAAACTCTGGTGACCCAGAGACCGCTGGGGGTGTGACTTTGTATTTTAATCTCGCCTTTCCTACATGCAAAGCAAAATAACCTGCAAGTATATGGAGGGATTAACGATTAAAATGTGGCACATCACTAATGATTAGAAAAACACAAATTTAAATCATAATTAGATACAACTATGTACCTATTAAAATGTATAAAATTAAAAAGACAAATCATATCAATTTAAAAAGAGAGGTAAGCCTCAGCCAGAATTCTCATACACTCTGGGGGGAACATAAAATGGTACCATCATTTTGGAAAACCATTTGGAATGGATTTTTTTAGTTAGACATACATAGACCATATAGCCAATCACTCCACACCTAGTTATTTCCCTGAAATTAAATCATATGTCCATACAAAAACTTGTACACAAATGTTCATAGCAGCTTTATTCATAATAGCCAAAAATTAGGAACAACTCTGCAATTGTTAATTTTATTGTGTCAACTATGCTAGGCCATGGTGGCCAGCTGTTTGGTCAAACACCAGTCTTGTTGTTTCTGTGAAAATATTTTTTGGATGTGATTAACATTTATTATCAGTAAACTCTAAGTAAAGCAGATTATCCTCCTTATGTGGGTGGGCCTCATCCAATCAGCTGAAGGCCTGAAGAGAAAAGACTAACGTTCCCCAAAGAGAAAGGCATTCTGCCTCCACACTACCTTCAGGCTCCATACTGCAACACCAATTCTTGCTGGAATTTCCAGCCTTTAGCCCGCCCTGCAAATTTCAGAGTTGCCAGCCCCCACGATGGCATGAACCAATTTTTTAAAATAAATGCCTGTGTGTGTGTGTGTGTGTGTGTGTGGTATTGGTTCTGCTTCTCTGGAGAACCCTAACATAAATGTTGGTCAACAAGCTAATGGATAAACAAATTGTATACGTGGTATATCCGTATAATAGAATACTATTTGACAGTAAAAAGGAATGAACAATTGACACATAAAACAACATGGATGAACCTCAAACATATTATGCTGAATGACAGAAGCAAGATCAGAAGAGAATAGTCCTGTATAGTTTCACTTATATAAAATTCTCAAAAATGCAAATGAATCCATAGTGACATAAAACAGATCAGTGGCTACCTAGAGAGGACAAGAGCCAGGAGGGAGGGTCACAAGAAAACTTTTGGGAACGATGCCTCCCTGCCTGACTCACTTTCCCTACTATGAAATGATTATGACTTTGTTCTCCTTCCTTGGCCACATTTGTTGCATTCGATCATCTAAGCCCAATGCCAGAGTCACTTACATCTGATGACCAGCCCTGTAAAGCTCACTGGCTTCCAGACCCGTGCTTCCTCCTTGGTCAGATGTTCTCACCTCCTATCCTTATCACCCTCTTTCTGCCTCATAATTAACTCTGGGGTCTTTGACTTCCCTTTAGATTATTTCTTCTGGTTTCATTTCCTTACCAGTTCTCTCCAACACAATTCTGGTCTCACTTGTTTTAGTACCTACATATCCATTTCCTACTTGCTCATGTTTCAAAACTAGTTTCCTTTAGCGCACCACGTTCCTGGCTTGTGTGACAGTCTTAGGCGTGATGCATTTCCTCCTGAGAGCCGATACCATCTCCCCTCTGACAAGTCAGTAAATAGTGAGCCTGGTTTAAGTAAGGGCTCGCACAGCAGGCCTCTTCCCTACCCCTGACTTCCTCTCTGCTACAAATAAACCGTTGCTCAGGATTTAAACGCTGTAGCTGAACATCTAAAGTATAAATGCTTAGCTGGAGTCTCTCATTCAAACTGCAGTGCCACCCTGAAGCCAGACAGAGCAGGGTGAAGATCCGGAAAATGTGGGACTGAGCACTGTTTCCAGCCCTGGCTAAATCCTCACGAGGCAGCACGATTCTGGGGAGGGGCGATGAGTCATGCGCCCTGCTGGAGGCAAAGAGGAGATATGTCTGCAGAGGGGAAATACGGAGGCCATTCTGTACCCTGCTGCTACCATGGCCACACGGCCTTGGAGAAAACACTTGGTAAGGCTTCTTGCTTCCATCTGTAAGATGGAAACAATGAAAGATGTGTGCTCCTTGATTTACACGTGGTAAATGGTGCAAGAACCCAGAGCTTCGAAATGAAGCTGTATGTGAAAGCCTCCTGGCTGTGCGTAGCACCTGGCCGCACCTGTCTGCAGCAGCGGCAACCTTGAGCAACGAGCTTCTGGCAACGGCAGGGGTGTCTGAATTCTCCCCCCACCCCCAGCCCACCCACAGCCCCGGGAAGAAGGATTCAGTTGGGCCATCGTCTCCCAGAGGAGAAGCCCCTTTCTGTGCTTCCAGGTCAGGGGCCTTAGAGAGACCGTGGCAACCGCTGGGATCACATGAGGAGGGTGGAAAGGCTGGTTTACCTTTTCTGGACGGCACTATTTTATTTCCCTCCCTACCAGTCACCTAAAAACTACTTGGGAATACTCTCCTTTTGCTATGCCTGTCTCTCCTCTTTTCTTCACTTTCTCCGGAGGGATGTATGTATGCTGGGGTGAGTGAATCGAGTGAATCGAGACACTCCCTCCCCCTGCCCCAGCCATAGCTCAGCTTCTTGACTATGTGGCTGCCTCTCAGTCCTGCGGAAACTTCTTTCTGTGCAGGAGCAGCAGAGGATGGGGACTGACCATGCTAAGCGCCAACCCCAGGCCAGGCACCCTGGTGGGCATTTCTCACCCAGTGTCCTGCTTAATGCTCTTTGATAAGGACATTGAAGGACAGAATATCCTGGCCAGGGGCACCCAGCTGCTAAGAGGGTGAGCTGGACAGATAGGAGACTGTCTGTCTTCAAACCCTGACCTGCTTCTACCATGGTTCATGGTGTCCCTTCTCCATAAACACCACACTTTTGCAGAAGCAGCAAATTCTGGTCCTTAATGTCAACTCAACAGTTCTGTCTTCTTCTCTCTTTCTCCCTCTCCCCGACCCAATCAGTAAACGTTCCCTGTCTACCACTGTTAAAAAAGAGCCAACACGGGCGCCTGGGTGGCTCAGACGGTTAAGTGTCTGCCTTCGGCTCAGGTCATGATCCCAGGGTCCTGGGATCGAGTCCCGCATCGGGCTCCCTGCTCCTTGGGAGGCTGCTTCTCTCCTTCTCTCTCTCTCTCCCCCCCCCATCTCGCATGAAAAAATAAATAAAATCTTAAAAAAAAAAAAAAGAGCCAACAGGCCCAAAACGGAGTTATTTGCACTAAGCTGGTATCATGGAACTGAGACTTAATCCCTCACTTAGTGACGGTTTCAACCTCTCCCAGAAGTGGAATCTTACACCAGCCAATCTGCAATTACCTGGTTAGCACTAGTGAGGCAATCTGCCCGATAGATAAATGCTATCTAAAAAACGTGACCTTTGCCACAAACAACCCCGCTTCTGCCTGTAAGTCTTTCATATTGTACAGTTCTCCAGAGAGCCTTTCTATCTGCTAGATGGGATGCTGCCTGATTCATGACTCGTTGAATAAAGCCAACAAGATCTTTACAACTTAGTTGAATTTTGTTTTCTAACACCACCAAGCACCACGGGCCCAGGCTCCTCTCCTCTCCACACGCACCCCCCTGACCTCTGGCCACAGTGCCCACTGTCCCCTGCACCCACCAGTAAACAGAAGCCTCTCTGTGAGGCTGACAGAGGCGCTGGGGCATCTGGGGCCCCACTCCTGTGCTCCCTGCCAAACCAGGAAGAGGAAACACACAGGGTTGGTATGCTTCCATGGAGGTGTATGTGAATCAGTGGGTCAGCACGGTGGGTGCCCGAGACCCAAGTGCTGCTTTAGTTGGCAATAAACAGCCCGCTCTACTCTAGAATGTGAATCAAACCCCAAAAGGTGTGTCATGGTATCCTATTTTCATAAATACACAAAACAACTGATTAGGCAAGACACTGAAATTGCATGCAGGGTGGGACTTTATCCAAAGCTGTGGTCCCTTCATGCTGTGGCCGTCTGTGCACCCTGGCTCTGCATCCCCTTCCTGGGAGGAGCACACTTAGAAAAATAAAGAAATACGCACGGTTGGTTCCCAGTCTTGCTCCCGTGTCCAGACCCTTTTTCCCATTTAGCATGTTAAGCTGATATCATAGATAAGATGGTAAGAATTGAGCAAATGTGACCCCCTCCCCCCATGGAGCAAATGCTCTTTACATAACCAGGCAATTGAGATACCCAATAATCCTAGTGGGAAGGTTTTAAGGTTTCCAATTCATCACCTAACCTGAAGCTCGTATTTCTGCAGATTTCTTAAAACCTGATCTGATTATTATACCTACCGTAGGCAGTTCATTTTTAAGAAACATTAATTAAAAAGATCAGGGTTGGGCGCCTGGGTGGCTCAGATGGTTAAGCATCTGCCTTCGGCTCAGGTCATGATCCCAGAGTCCTGGGATCGAGTCCCACATCGGGCTCCCTGCTCCTTGGGAGCCTGCTTCTCCCTCTGCCTCTCTCTCTCTCCGTCTCTCATGAATAAATAAAAAATCTTAAAAAAAAAAAAAGATCAGGGTTGGGGCGCCTGGGTGGCTCAGTCGTTAAGCGTCTGCCTCCCAACTCCTGGGATCGAGCCCCGCACATCGGCTCCCTGCTCCGTGGGAAGCCTGCTTCTCCCTCTCCCACTCCCCCTGCGTGTGTTCCCTCTCTCGCTATGTCTCTCTCTGTCAAATAAATAAAATCTTTAAAAAATAAAATAAAAAAATAAAAGATCAGGGTTCAAGAAATCACAGCCATGGTCTAAAGCAGGTAAGATGTTTCCGTTGGAACACTCCGAATAAGTGTGGATAGACCGCTTCCATCAGGTTAGCTAGTGCTTTTCTAACGCTCATCTGAACTGGGCTGTGGGTTGTAACCACAAACGTGGCAGAATCGCTCGGCTCAGAGAGCCTACCTCGGCCCCTTTTCGAGAACTATTTCCTGGAATGTTCCAAATCTCTGTCTCCAGAGAAAGAGGCGCGGATGACCCAGAGTAGCCTATGCCACCAGGAAGTAAGTATGAAACTCAAAACCAGACCGCCCTCCCCCTGCTACACACACACACACACACACACACACACACACACACACACACACACACA